GTAGCTGATGGGTGAGGTGTTTTTTTTTTTTTTTTTGGGGGGGGGGGGGGGATCCTACAGATGGTATCAAGATGATCTAGTTGTTTGATCCTCAGTTTTACTGTAACTCATTTAATAAAATTTGAATAATGGACAATATTACTGAGCCAAATCATGCCAGCGATTAGCGTGGCAGGTGTGCTGGTTTGCAGGTCCTTAAAGCAGGTGTCTTAACAGGGTCTCTCCCAAAATGCTGCCACGACCATCCTTGCTTCTTACAGCAATGTGGAATTTTGGCACATATTGACTTTATGACCCAGTATAATATTAATAGTAATATTCAGAAGTTGTAAAATGTTCATCATAAAAATATATATAAACATTTTTAGAACACTTAAAAAAAATTATAGTTTATTTATAGATTAAGAAATTCTCATCACAACTGTACACCAAACGGTCTAATATTTGATGTGTTTGTCTGCCAAAGAGATTTCCATGTACAAAAATCACTGCGAATCCCTTTAGACCTGCCACCAAATAGTCTATTCAAAGACTTCTATTGTGAACTGCAAGCAGGTCCGTATGAAATAAAATCCTGTTTTGGGTCATTTTATCGTGCAGTTCTGTGGGGTCTGGGGACGGCCCTGGGGAATTGTGGGTGTTTTGTGTTGACATGTGAGCCAGGCTCTCGCTCTTTCAGAGGACCTTGCGGTCGTGCAGGTGGCCCGGCACAGGCTGAGCTACATCCAGGAAATCGGCACTGGATGGTTTGGAAAGGTACGTACTTCCTGTCTGGCTCTGCCTGCCTGAACACAGCTTCCATGCTGCCTTATTTTAGATCAAAATACGTCAAAAGCCTTTTTTCTTCGTTAGAGGTGCATGATACAAATGTGCATTGTTAATGTTTAAAATGTCCTTTTTAAAATGATTTTCCCCCCCTAATGAAACAAATTGTATTAATATTAAGAATTAAACACTTTGTGTGAAGCACAAATGCATATTTCTCTGTGACAAGGTTTTTATTATATGGTTAACTGAATAAGGCTTTGTGTGTTTAATGATCACTGTTCACTCATTTTTTTTTTCACTGTGTATGTTTGTTTTTAGTGTTCATATACTATGCAAAAATGAATGATTTTACACAATTGTGTTATTGAAATATTTTCTGATTTTAGTGCACTATTTTGCATCTTGATTGGAATATAAAATTTATGCTTTTCTATTATTTTACCGAATTACCATATCCCAGAATCATATGTTTAATATTTAGGTGAAATAATGTATGACAGATCTGTGACAACTGGGAAAACATTCTGATGTGTGTAAAACTGGTAAATGGGAAATAGCCTGTTTCACTGAAGAATCGATGTAGTGTTTCATTAGTGTATCTTGTTTGCATTATGTGTTACATCACATGTCTGTTGTCCTTTAAACGTGACATTTAAAAATGAAAAGTGAAGCACTGAAATAGTTGAGGGTGTTTTAGCGGAGCGCTCACGGGGGCCGGTGGGCAGTTCCCTCTGCCCTGTGTCTGTGCCCCCCCCCCCCCCCCCCCCATCTGCTGGAGGCACGTGCCGGCCCGCGGTGCCCCCCGAGGTGATTACGCACGGTTAGAGTGACGTGGGCCTCCTTCCTGAGGCTCCTTCCTCAGGATGGAGGCCTGCCCCCAGCCCGCTAGCACCGGCTTCTGAGCCGCGACCACAACATCCTCCCTCCCGGCAGTGCGCGGCCTTGTCCCTTTCCACGCTCCGCTCCGCTTGTTTGCAGGAAGTCCAGGTTTCCTGTGTGGAGTGGCGTGGGGGGGGAGGGTGGATGCTTTGGGGTATAAAAGACCCATCCTCATTTCTGCTCCTGTTTTCTCCCCCCTTATTATTGCCCCCCCCCCACCCGAATCAGGTTCTTCTCGGGGAGCTTTGTGCAGAGCCTGTGGCCATCAGGCTCGTGGTGAAGGAGCTGAAGGCAAGCGCCGGGGTAAAGGAGCAGGATGACTTCCTGCAGCACGCGGATCCGTACCGGTGAGTCTGGCGGCGCTGACACCTCGGGACACCGGGCCGTGTCCCCATCTGCAGGTTCAGGCTGAAGGTTAACGGTCACTCTGTGTGTTTCGGCCATTTCCCAATTAAAGTTGTACAAATCTGTATATTTAGTTAATGGTAAAAGTTGATGTGCTTCTGTTCTTAAGTAGTTTGGGGAATACTTTCAATGCTATGCAGTTTTATGTCTAGGGGGAAAGCTGCTAGTTGATGAATGAATTGATTAAACGATTAATGTCAGTACACTCTCAGAAAAAAGGGTAAAAATTTGTACCTTTGCTTGTCACTGGGGCTGTACCCTTTAATTGTACCTTTTTAGGTATAGAAATGGAACATCCCAAAGGTACAATCAGCATTAATGTACCATCAATGGTACTGAAATGTTCCTCAGAGTCTGTTTCTGTACTTTAAAAGGTACAATTACCTACTGCAAAGGGTACAACTGGCAGACCCTTGAAGGTACAGCCCCAGTGACACGATACAAATTTTCACCCTTTTTTCCGAGGGTGTATTTAGCAGTACTTTTCCTAAGGTTAGTGTTTGACGGTGGTTCTTGTGTGTGAATCTTCATGGTGGGTACCCTGCCTACGTTCCCCGTCTGTAACCCAAAGCCTTCTGACACTAACAGGGTCCTGCAGCATCCTAACATCTTATGGTGCCTGGGCCAGTGTGTGGAGACCATCCCTTTCCTGTTGGTCTATGAGTGCTGCGAGCTGGTAAGTGTTATAGTTGTGGGTAATTGGCACCATCCAGTCCTCAGATTGACAGAATACATGTGTCTAATGGCACTGTATATGAAATGCGACACTGCATCTGGTAGGTGTTGGAATGTTGTGTTTGCTGGACTGGATGAATATGTAGCTTTCTGGGGACCCCAGGAAAATGATGCTGGTTTAATAATATGACATAATCACTCTGCTGCCAATCAAGGACTGAAAGTTGGCTTTTTCCACACCTGAAGACATCTTGTTTGGAGAGACATCTGTGTTGGCTGCTTTTTAATCAATGTATGCCTGCATTTTTTTTTTGGTCTATTTTTTGCCCGCCGACTGTCCTGGCCAAAGATTCCAGCGGCATAGCAAGGGTCCTCTCAGATTCCACGGTGTCCTCAGGCTCCTGCCATCATGTCTTTAGTGTCAGGCTCGCGGTTTAGGGTTTTCATCATTTCCACATTTTTGAGTTCCTCTCTGTTACGGTGATAAACAAAAACAAGGAATGCTCCCCACCCCATATGTTTTTATAGATAAGGGGGTATCCTTTATTTTCACTCTCTGCCTAATCAAAGTTTGTCCTCCCGATTCCCCGTGGGGCCCCGTGGAGCCTATTTTTGGCTGACAGGCCGTGAAATAGGAATGCAGCTGGTACATTGATTCGGCCACAACAGACCCCCTTTTCGGGACACTAGCCTTGCGTTTGAATCAGTACTCATCCCTTATCCTCAAGTCTATGGGCTGTTATTGAATTTAACTACATCGTTTTTTATGTTTTTGCTGTCTTGTGGCTCCTGTGCGTTCTGTTGACCGTTTGTTGGGAAGAAAACCGAAATGAAAATGAAAAAATGCTTCAGTAATATTATTTTTGCGTTTTTCCAAATCTCTGGTCAAAAAAATCTGCCCACTTTCAGCCGAGTTGCAGCCTCTTTCGGCCCAGGGAGTACAAAAATGGCAGCGGTGTTCCTTTTTGGCTCGGCATACGAGCAGAGAGCTCAGACGAGCACAGGAGGGACTCCTCCCAAGCAGCAAGTGAACACCATGTACATTTAGAGGTGTGAGCCACTGATCCAGGTTGACCCGGGTAGCAGCACTGGTCTGGAGCCCCCCCCCCCAGGGTGATCTCACCCCAGCCGCACCTTGCGTAATGGCTGCTCGCAATTCCAGCTGGGTGGCCTCACCAGGCTGGGTCTCTACACTCCCGGATTGGGTTTTGCTCCCTGTCCCTCTGTCAAGAGCTGTTTTGATGGGTTTATGGCTTCACGCAGGCTGGAGTACAGCAGCTCCCCATCTCTGCTGGTCAGTTTCCTTTTTTGAGGTTGGCATATCCAACTGTATGTTGATACAGTCAGAAGTGCTGGCTTCTTGCCGGAGGCAGGGGGAGTATAAGATTTAACTCAGCAGGCCTTTTAAACCTGCCCCCCCCCAGGGGATTGGGTGTTGGAGGAGTTTGGGTTTCCATTGCCTTGACAAATTTGCCGTGTCTGTTCAAAAAGATAAGCCACTAAATTTGTACCATTTGTTACCTTTGGTACAATTGAAGACTGGAAATTGTTTTTGTTTACTTTGTAGCTGATGGGTGAGGTGTTTTTTTTTTTTTTTGGAATGTACCTGCTTTCTGTTCAAACCCATGGATTTGAGGACAGGGCAGATGACTGTTGATTTTGAAGTTTTTCCCAGTTTAGTAGTACTGGTTGTGATGTGGCTGTTACATTGCAGTGGTGATTTATGCTGCGGCATGAGCGCTAAAATGTCGCTGTCGTCTGGCCATGGAGACTTCGGTCGAATAGTTATATGCTGAATATGACGACGAGCAAACGGTATAGTAACGGTCAAACGGTACACCATCCTCGGGCGGGTTAGTTAGACGAGGGAAGCCCAAGCCATTGACGTTGCTGCACACTTGACAGATTTGTTTCCCGTTTGTTTGACTGGTAACTAGCGGTAACCCTGACTCTATGCATTTGGGACAGAAATATAGAGGGCCATTGCAATCGGAGCAGAGTGACACATGCTGCAGTGCTGACTGACACTCCCTTTTGGGGGGTTAATAAAAAGCCTGTGGGGGTCCTGGGCAGCGGCCCTCAGGATGCTGTGGCGGCTTGGGGTCCCGCGGCATCGCGTTAGTCCCTCAGGGCTCTCAGGAGGGTGGGCACCAGCTAGATGCTTTCCGGGGCAGCCCCGGGAGGCTGTAACTTAACAGCACGGTACCCTCAGCAGGGATCTCCATTTTGTCTGGTGATGTCATTCGGCCTGCTCAGTCTAAACAGGCGAGGTTTGGCCAGTTCAGGATTAGCTTGCCTCATCGCAGTGTAGCGATGGCCGCACAGCTGCATTCCCTGCAGGGCACATGTAAGCGGTTTCAATCGCTAAAATCAGTCTTTAGGGTGCTGTTTTCGGGTTTCATCTGGGAGCAGAAGTAAAAGGAAAAAAATGTTGGGAAACATCCTATTACACACTTGTGCTAATCTCTTTTAGCACAGATACTTGTCACTATTATACTAGTCAAATGCTTCTTTCAAATGGAATAGTATAACAAATCTGATCTTTTTGTCTTTTATTTTTATTTTACACTGATAATGCACACTTGAGTAGACAGCTGTCACATTCCCTCATCTATATAACTAGCAGCAAAAATAAAAAGTCACTTGTATGCTTTATGCGTCCCTTTACATCCTATACAGACTAGGAGTATTCTTAGCTATTAATTAATCAAAGTTTTATTTGGGTATGTTTGGGTAAGTTTTATTTGGTTGTATTTTTTATAACAGTTAAAATGGTAAAAGGGAATTTCATTAGCTGTAAAAATCAAATCGCAATGAAAGAATGAGCCCTTGATTCAGGGCTGTGCTGGCTGCCTGGCTGTGCTGGCTGCCTGGCTGTGCTGGCTGTCTGGCTGTTCTGGCTGTGTTGGCTGTCTGGTTGTGCTGGCTGTTCTGGCTGTGCTGGCTGCCTGTCTGTTCTGGCTGTCTGGCTGTATTGGCTGTGCTGGCTGTCTGGCTGTATTGGCTGTGCTGGCTGTCTGGCTGTGCTGGCTGTCTGGATGTGCTGGCTGTGCTGGCTGTCTGGTTGTGCTGGTTGTTCTGGCTGTGTTGGCTGTCTGGCTGTCTGGTTGTGTTGGCTGTCTGGTGTACCAGGCATTTTGCTGGTGGGTTGATGGGTGTGGCTTTTACTCCCAGCCCAGCCCTGCATTGAGCTCAAAAAAACCACTTACATCAGATTGAGTCCCCAGTGGAAAGAAATGCTAACAAGCCTGGTTAGCTGCTAACTGCTAGTAACCTGCAGCTTTCCCTGGCTTTTCCAGTTGCTAAGTGCTGGACGAGCTGATATATTGCTAGCTAGTATGATAAGTGTGTGCTGGGATGACTGAGCGGATAACTGTCCCGTGTACTGAGGCACAAAGATTGGTGTGACGGATAACAATGGACAAGAATGTTTTCTTGAAACAGATTATATATTTTTTTAAACTATATATTGTTCATGTTTTGCGCCTTTATGTTTAAATACTGCTAAATATTCTTGTGTATGATATTGATATGATAATTAACATGTAAGCAGCCCAGATAGGTGGCTTGTACGAGCTGCTTTTATTTGCATCCTTGTACTCTTGCGATTATCCTCCCCCCCTCTCCCTGTTAGACACCCCAACAGGGAGCAGGAAGTCAGCAGGGACAGAGGCAACACGTTTCCGTGTTTTTATCACAGCTCAAAATCCTGCGCGTTGAAATCAATAAGGAGATGGCATAGTCAGAGTCTGCCATGCACCTATAATTACAGACACTCCCCAGGTTACAACGGTCCGTGTTACGATATTTTGACTTTACGATGGATAAATGTGTTCTAAGCATGTTTAAGGTAGGCTAGGCTGGACTATGATGTTTGCTAGGTGTACCGTATGAAAATGCATTTTCACCTTACGATACGTTTATTGGAACGTAAGTCCATCGTAACCTGGGGAGAGGCTGTATTGTGCCCGTTTTTCTCCGGAAGATACGTAATTGTAGTGAAAAAAAGAATCAGTGGCACTTGCCAGATTATATGTGAGTATGAAGACATTTATTTTGCTACCTGACACTAGAAACTTTAGCGTTAACTGATTAGAACTTATAAACCTCATATCAGTGTGTGTTACATCAGATTTCTGGCAGACTTTATGATCCATCACCTGTTTTTTTTTGTCATCTTGTAGAACGATGTATGTTTTTTGTACATTAGGCTTTCTGCTAGTCATGCATAGCGGTTAGGCCGTCTGGTCCACAAGGACACTGCTCTTATCCAAACTGGGTTCTAGGCTGCTGGTATACGAAACCTGAGCTGCTGTAGCAGCACGGCGGCGCTCTGCCAGGCTGGCAGCCTCTTTTATTTTTAAATTGCAGTGACACAGCATATAGCATAATCTATTTAATATCCTTTACCTTTTAAGGCCTAATTTGGGTGCCTGGGTGGCACAGCTGCCCCCTTCATATTGCACATAATGTTTACTGCCCTCTTATGGTTGAACTCCACACTGCACTCATTTTTATGAATAAAAAACGATGCATGCTCTCATTAGCCGCTGATTGGTTCGAATCTGCCCATTGTGATACCAGGCTGAATGAGCAATTAAAATCGTTGTCAAGTGACCACAGTACTTCTTACCGCTGTAACTTTATACTTAATTTTAAAGTGACTATTTAGCTTTGTTTCAGTGTCTGCTCGACAAACTCTGACATGTAAGCTATGTTTAACTCAGTGGTTCCTAACCTTTTCTGATACACCATGTGATTTCTGAAATAATGTCCACATCTTATTTCAAATTTGCCTACATCTGTCCAAGTTAAACCAATCTACACTGAACTAATACTTCAAGACACACAAGGCACTGTGGTCTCTCATCTCTACCAGCCATAGTACTTAGTAATGAGTTTTATCCCTTTGTTTTACTTTCTCATAATTTTGTTATTGGAGCTTTAATGCTCGCAGTAGTGGGGATTTGCGTTGTTCATTTAGGTTGTTTTATCAATAGGCCCAGAGGTTGACCCAGGCTAACCCCCACTCCCCGGCCAGTTAGCGGCATGCTGCCGCTTGGCCAGTGGACTGACAGATGTCCCTCGTGCCCTGCAGGGAGACCTGAGGAGCTACCTGAGTCAGCAGGAGTGTGTGCTGGTGAGCAGCGATGTGCTGCAGAGGATGGCCTGTGAGGTCACCGCCGGGGTCGCCCACCTGCACAAGAACAACTTCCTGCACAGGTATGCTGTCGTCCCGACGTCACTCTGCTGTCCATCTGTGGACTCTGCCGTATTCCCCTCTTACTCCTCTTCATTTGTAGATATGAGCAATTAAAATAAAATTCTTTGTAATTTATTACATAGGGATTTATATGATTTATCTCTTCTAATTCGGTGTCTTGGTTATTGGTTCGATTTTTATCATATCAAGTGCTGTTAGAGATTTTGGGCGCCATGACAACATACTGTTAGGACCCCCAATCCAGACCAATCCAGTTATGTTCCACATTTGTTAGGGCCTCATTACTTGTCCTAACTTTTCTCCCTTTACGGCGCCCATGATAACAAGTGTTTTTCAAATACAGACGCTCTTCTACTTACGACCTTTCAACTTAAGAACTTTCAGACATACGAGCGAAGAAGACTGTAAGTTCAAATTGTGTTTATTGGGCTCCCATTTCTTATCCGCAACATCAATTTTTTTTTTCTGCGCACCAATTCCACCTAGTACGACTTCTGCCCGCTACTCCCGCCGCTCAGCAGCGTAGCGTGCGTACTCCCAGCATACTAGCTCTTAGTACTTGCGTATACCCTTAAAATTATGTTGAATAACGACTTACGAACATTTCAAGTTACGAACGGCCGTTCGGAACATATCTCAGTCCTAAGTAGAGGAGGGTCTGTATATTAAAGTACAAATATTAAAATGTTCAGTGTAGATTTTAAAGTTGTTTTATTGGTCTGTGCTTAAATGCTTACAGTTCCCTGCTTACTATATGGCATTAGGATCATTGCTTGAGAGGTGTCACATGACTATACAGTGGGGAAAACGTGTCCTGAAGTCACTATGGCTGGAACCTGTGGTTTACAAACTTCGTACGGTTTCCTTCAACAGCCCCCTGGATGTCTGATATTGGGATTGTATCTGATTTGGCTTGTGCTCCAGACCACATGGTGGAACCAGCCTTATTGTAAGCCAGGGACCTTACAGAATGACTTATTAGTGTTTTCCTGGCAGTCCACTTCACCCGTCCTCTCTGATATCTCAGAGTTTTGTTGTGCGTTACCGGTACCCGCTGCCAACCGCTTCGATTTCCCCAAAAAGGGCCGCCACCGTTTCAGTCTCATTCCTACCCCTGAGGCAGCAGGCGTCCAAGCAAGTGAGGGCCACAGGTATAGAGTGACGCGGGCTCTTAGCGCGTCGTCTCTGTCTTGCGTGCTCGGATAAGCCCCGGGGGTGTCCAATTGCACAGCTCCCACGGATTGCTTGGTGTCACTTACTGTCTGTTGGAGAGAGATGATGATTCGGCGCTTTGTGTGTAAAGGATATTTTTGTAAACTTTTTTTTTTTTTTTTTTTTTAATTACATGCATTATAACCCAAAAGGTGGCACTGTCACAGCGGGCCAATGGAAACGCCGCTGCCACCGACCTCCGCTTTTGGTAGTGAGTTGATTTACGGCCCAGCCCCCCAGCCTGCCCCCATGACTCCGCCCCCATAGCTCCGCCCCCCCGGGCCCTACCCCTCATTGCTCGACATGGTCCGGAGCACCCAGCAGGGTGTATCCTCACGGGAGGGCGACCGTCTAGGCTGCGGCGGCGGGGCTATTTTTATCCTACAGAATATAACAAGACGGGGAGAGCATCGCGGCGGAAAAATGGCCCATTTCCGGGGCGCATGCTGGAAAGTAGCATGTAGCTATTCTGTGCTTTCGGCCAAGTTTTGGCAAATGGCAAAAAAGGAAAGAAGCCCATGTGGGTTTCAGAAGCCCGGTCGTGAGAAACAGGGACAGCAGGCTGTAAATATAACCAATCACACGGTGACTGTGTCACAGGCCGCCTTGACAGAGATGGGTTTCTGTTTTTTGTGTAGAATGGATTCTGTTTGCAGGGGAGTCGCTCATTTTAATACTGTTATCGCTAGTTTTAACATGAAACGTTTCAACATGGTTTTCTGCCTCCCAGACGCACACAGCCTTCAGATGTGCTCAGGTTTACAAACAAGTCAACAGTTATCAGCAGTGTTGAGCGTTTCCAGTCCAGAAGCTACAAATCCAGATCAGAATTTTGTTTCTACAAACCAGTTAAAAACTCTAAGTGGGACTCTTTATGCTCAGCTGGCTGGTAAAAGCAAAATCTTGGTCTGGATTTGTAGCTTCTGGACCGGAAATGCCCCATACTGGTTATCAGTGTTTTGCATAAAGATATGAGTTAAAAAGGAAATGAAATCTCTTGGAAAGCAATGAAGATATAACACACTCCCCTGGCTGGGATAAATCACTGAATGCTGATAAATTTTACAGTCTGTGGTTGTAGTTTGGCTGCGTTTTGCCTTGTAGGGGAAGATGACTGCCCTGGCCCTTTCTGGCCAGCTGTACTGTATGCACCAATAGCTGCCAAGTGAGCTGGAGGAGTTTAAAATACATCCCTCTTTATTTTAGGTGGTGTCAGGGGTCTGGCAGGGGGTACTGGGAGGGGCGGCGGGTAGATTGGCCTGGTCTGGCCCGAGCTGGGCTGAGCTGAGGAGGGTGGTACCCCTAGGAGCCAGATCAGAGGGGGGTGAAACCCAAGCCCCGTCCCAGGCTCGCCGTCCTCCCTCCATCCTCTCCAAGTCACCCCCCCCACCCCGTTCTTCCCGAGAGCAGTGTTCCTCCCTGGGAGCAAAATCCCGGTGCTGCATGAGCGAGATGGGATAAGCTCCAGCATCAGTGATTTTGTTGCCAGGGGGTGAACGGAAGCAGCTGGACCTCGTGGGGGGGGGGGGGGGTGTTAGCAGGGAGGGGGCACAGTCCACAGTCCACAGCCTGCCAGCTGACAGCAGCACACAGAAGGCAATTACCTTCGGCCTGTGAGATTGTTTGTCTACCTACCCCCCCCGCCCTCCCGGCTAGGTGAGTGTTTGTCAGCCTGCAAGCAATGCATTTTAACGGCAGGGGGAAGAGGCACTTTGTTTCTGGAGCCTGAGAATAACCCAACTGGCTTTTATGATTAATGCTTGTAAGTGTCTCAAGCAGGAAGTGGCCATTCCGACTGCAGCGTTTCCACCTGTGTTAGTGACTCAAAGGTCTTATTTTGAAATGCAAGCTGGTTTCCAAGCCCACTATTGGCCCACTATGAAGACCATTTCCTTGTAATGTCTGTCTGTGTTGTATGATGGCTTAAAAGGTTTTCCTGTCACAAACTGTCTATTGTCTAATGATAACTATTTCCTGTCGCCAAAAGCACCTAGGTTCACCTTTCTATTCCTGTTGGACTCTGACAGTTACCCTGTCTCTAAAACGCAGTAAGCTCTGTCTACACAGGCTGACACATCGCCCTCTGTTTGGTTGCTTGTTTGCTGTTGTGTAGGTTCCTGTACACACTGTTCAGCAGGTTTGCACCCAGAATGGTGCCTGGTGCTGTACAGTAACTTTTCACCCGCTATTTCTCCTTCATCTGCCTCAACTCACCATGGCTGGAGAAGCAGGAGAAACTGGGTTTTGACAGCTGCATTGTTAAATGCTGCCTTTCGATTGGTTGGGATTGTCGTGTGCTTTTTCGGCCTGCTTCCCCATTGGATAGGTTACACTGGGTGTTCACAATTGGTGAAGATCAACTTCGCTCCCCATCCATGTATGATCCACAGTTTGAGAGAGTATTTCAGGATGTAAAGGAACTAAAACATGGGTGACAAGGTCGCTCTGTGGCATGCCTCATTCCGAGCCTGTTCAGAGGGGATAATGTATGTATGAATATCTCCACCAGATGGCAGCATAGCCATCCTAAAAGCTTATGTGACTTCTTGCTATTTGCTTTTATTCCAAAATGACATCACATGCAGCAGACATTGTCTGCTCTTTGGGTGTTATGTCACAGGTGACATCCCCGAACCTCACATGTCCTTAGGACAGGCTGATCTCCTTAGGACAGGCTGCATTCCTTAGGGCAGTCTGACTCCTCTGTTTTATTTTTCATCAGCCTGCATTTTAGACACACAGTTCATTGTGAAAGCAAGTATTAGAGGCATGTAGTAATATTAGTGTTGACCTCAGGCTGCCCTGCCTTTATTATTTTTCTGTCCTACTCTTCCTCTTCATCATCTAGTGACCTGGCCCTGCGGAACTGCTTCATCACCACAGATCTGACGGTAAAAATCGGGGACTACGGAATAGGCCCCTCAAAGTACAAGGTAGGCTTTAACGGTGTTCCATTGTCTTTGTATGTGATTGTTAATGGTCAGTCTGTGGGGTGAATATTTTGATTCAGCATGTCATGTGATAGATAGATAGATAGATAGATAGATAGATAGATAGATAGATAGATAGATAGATAGATAGATAGATAGGTTGATTAGTTGGTATGCTGTTTTTGGTCTGCATTCAGCAACACAGGAACATCAAGCGCACAGATGCAAAAGCAGAGTGCAAACCTCAGGACAAAGTGCAAACAGTATTGTACAAGGACGAATAAATAAACACAATATAGGGAAATATAAATAAGATAACAGGAGGTGTACAATACCAGCAGTTCCGTTTGTGAGGTTAAACAGGTGATTTGAAGCTGTGGGCCTGATTTGAGAGACTGTCTATTCAGCCTCACCGTCACACTTCCTGTAATCCGGTTAAAGTGTGATGTCATCAGGAATTGCCACATCTGCGATTTGTGCCTGCTGTTTACGGTAGCAGAGGGGTTTGCATGAAATGGGGTCACTTGGGGGGTCCCTTTGTTAGTGAATTATTGATGCCCCCTGTCTTGCACAGGAGGACTATATCACTACTGAAGAGGAGTCTGCAATCCCCCTGCGCTGGATGGCCCCGGAGCTGCTGTCGGAGCTCCATGGCACGGTGCTCATGGAGAAGCAGACCAAGGCGGGCAACGTGTGGTAGGACCTTCTCCGCACCTGCTGCTTCAGCCTGCCTGGGACTGTTGTCTCCTGTAACAACTGCAGTGTGGAAGTGGAGGCTCCATAGTATTATGTAAATTACTGAGCAGTTACGGCTGAATGAGACATGCACTTATTCTTATGACTTCTGAATATGTTCTAACAGAGTCTATTAATGTTTCCACAAACACTTAATGTTTTGGCACACAGCATAATGTGAGTGTTGCTCATAAACAGAAGCCTTATGTTAATAATGATAAACTTTTTGTTTCAGCACTTAGATTTATACCCTTTCAGTTGTGGAATCTGATCTCACTCTTGCTCATTTGAATCTACAAACCCCCTTTCCCTGAGCTAGGCCTGAGTATAGGCAACAGCAAAAATTTGGTAACTGGACTGTTTTCTGAAACTTTTATTTCCCTTATAAGTTGCCATTAAGAAAATGCCAAAATCTCTCCCTTAAATTCACTTGGCAAATTTGACTGGGATTTGTGGGGTTCTACAAACCAGTTAAAAAAGAACCATGAATATGGTTATTTAAAGGAGTTGGCAAACGCAGAGCGCACACCTCGGCAGAGCATCTGCAGTCTACACACTGCTCCAGATGAGGCTTCCTGTCTGCTCTGCCAGGTGAAGCTGACATTTCAGGGCTCTCTTTCGGAAACTTCTCCTGACAATGGAAGAGCTGTTTAAGGCATCTGCTTCCTAATGTTTTCTCAATCCCACACATTTGATTTTAACTTTGAGAGGCTTAAACTCACGCTCATAACCAAATTTTACTGCTATAAGCAAATGGCATGATGAACGGAGTTCCACAAGTGCATGAATGAAAGTATCCCAGACAAGTGTTTTCCAGGCAGGCTGTGTTCAGTAGCACATTAACGGTGATGTCAGCGGGAGACATTTCTTTGAGCGCTTGAGGGTTTAGCAGCGGGTCATTATAATTACTGATTAAACACTGATTAAACATGAATTCTCTTAATGTGCTAATGTGTGCTGGAGGATTTAGGTCAGAGCGGAGTGGCGTTTCCTCCCAGGCCTGTTTAGTGGGCTGGGCGGGAGGGCGGGTCACGTCCGAACGGGAAGAACAGCGAATGGTGTGTCCGCAGGGCCCTGGGGGTGACGCTGTGGGAGCTGCTGGAGCGTGCCGCCCAGCCCTACGCACACCTGCCCGACAGAGACGTGCTAATCCACGTGATACAGGAGCAGCAGATTAAACTCTGCAAGCCACAGCTGGAGCTGCCGTACTCTGACAGATGGTGAGCCTGTTTTCAATGAATAGATAAACGGCGCGTGCGTCCGTGTTTGTGCGTATACCAGCTCGCGCATTAGACAGCCCCGTCAATGATCAATGGTGATATTTTTGGGAGGAAGGTATAATTTTATACCCCCTGCACACAAATGATTTGTCTTCAGCATTTCAAGTAGTGCAAGTCCTCCTAAAACTCCAATAAATTTAAATTGCACGTAGACATATATTTTTCCGTGTTTGTTTTTTCATCTGGGCTGAATTTTCATAGAGTACATAGTACGTGGGTCATTAAAGCAGCAGCTGTTGTCATTAATCTGCGGCATTTGCATTTCACCTGATATAACGACATGATGATTTAGAGCCTGAATTACTTAGACACATTTTGTGAGACAAAGTCACTTAACTTCCTGTATTTCTGGCCTGATATTCTATACTTATTATATTTTAATTTCCATTTAATTTAATTTATATTTACAAGTTTTTCTAGAAGACACTTATGTATGTGTGTGTCTGTATGTATGTTGGTGTGTGTGTGTGTGTGTGTGTGTGTGTGTGTGTGGTGGGGTGGGGGGGGAGGTTCATCTCCATCTCCGTCACAGTGCCCAGTGAGTCAGCTCCTCTTTGCTTCTTCCTTTGGTCCCTCTTTTTAAGGTTGCCTGGTGACTAAAGAGGGGAATATTTCCTATTGCGTACATGGTGATGTACAGCACAGTTTCAATATTTACTGACTTGCGGACGAGGGAAAGATTCTGTAATAATGGTGTGAATTCTTAGCTGTTTCTGTAAGAGAAAATTCTTATTAATCAGATTTGTACAAACCTGTTTCCAAGAAAGTTAATTTAAGAACATTATTCTTAAATCGATGCACTATTTGCCTACACAGCCTTTCACAGAGTGCTGAACCTCTCCCCATCTTCACTGCACAGAGACTCTGCCTCTCTGGGAGGCTCTTCGTATACCCGATCATCTTACTGACCTGTTGCCAATTAACCTAATTAGTTGTGAGGTGTTCAACCAGGTGTTTTATTTTAGCATTACACAGCTTTTCTACTCTTTTGTTGCCCCATCCTAACTTTTTTGAAATGTCTTGCTGGCATCAAATTCAAATTGAGCAGATATTTATCATAAAAAGTCCTTCTCGTTCTCAACATTTGATATGTTGTCTTTGTTCTATTTTCAATTACATATGGGTTTATATGATTTATAAATTATTAATTTCTGTTTTTATTTACATTTTACACAGCATCCCAACTGTTTTTGGAAACGGGGTTGTACATTCTGTTTTGTGATTATTTAAGTTAGGTTTAGAGTGAATAAAATGTACTGTAAAATAAAGCTAGTCTAAAATGTAATCACAATCAGTGTATGCATTTTGACAAAGGTAAACAGTATTGTATGTACTTCCTCATAACTGATTGTAAGGTAAGTTTTACTTTATGAAAAAGGTAGTTTTTACTTTCAGAATATTCTTAGGAAATCAATACATTCCATGCTTCCTGTCATAATAAGCATGGTAGATAAAAAGTGTGCATTATCCCAGAATACATAAGCTGACGTCTGTGTTTCAGGTGTGTAAAATGTGTTGGATGCTGTATTTAGCAATGAACTGCTTGCTGTAGACCTTTAGTAACACTGGGCTTAAATACAACCACAAGCCCAGAGATTTGTTCTGTAGTGGACCCAAAAAAGACTGCAGATCCTCATACGTACACATACACTATGACAGACACGCATTATAATATAAAGTTTAATGGCTGCATGGTAGTCTTTTGGCAGTAGAGTGCAAACTTTGTGCATCTGGTGATCTGAATGCTTTGCATTCCCTTTGGAGTGAGGGAGGCAGGAGAAAAGTGCTTTTGCAGAATGATTGGGGTCTTTAGTCACTGTTATTGTGACAGGATCGTGCCACGGTTTTCGGCTAATCGTGCCATCCTCTCTTCAGGTATGAGGTGCTGCAGTTTTGCTGGCTCCCACCAGCCAGAAGGGCCACAGCAGAGGAGCTGCACCGCCTGCTCACATATCTCCGTATGCAGGGTCAGCGAGAAACTGAGGAAGACTTTGAGCAGCGCTGGAGTGCCCTCAAGCCCAACTCCTACAACCGGCAAGCTCCCGCGAGCCAGTCGTCCTTCCCCATCCTCAGACAGTTTGCCGACGGGGGAGGGGACGAGGTGCTCACGGTGACAGAGACCAGCCGAGGCCTCAACTTTGAGTATGTGTGGGAGGCGGCCAAGCATGACCATTACAGTCATGATCGCGGGGTCGTGGACACCACCCTCAACTACCGCAATATGTTCTTCCCACTCTTACATTTAAGCCCACCGCACTCATTAATATCTGCTGCAGAAGTAGGGAGCCATGGAACCCTTTCTGAGCTAACCAGCATTGGTGCCAATGTGCATAAAACAGCAGAGACTCAGAAGCAGCACTACATACAGCTGGAGAAGCCGGGGATGCACAAGTTTCAGGTAGATGACAGCTCTGTTGCTCTAGACACTTGTGAAGACTTGGAACTGGCTAAAAACGAGAAGCAACATCTGATCTTACAGAGTAGTCTCTTGGGTGACAGCAGCATTGACCATGATTTTTTTGATGCCAGTATCGACTCTAAGGATTCCAATCTGCAGGAGAGCCAGGAATGGTCATCCAGTGACCCAGAAAGCCCCCATCATGCAAACATGTTCCATGGAACTAGTTCTAAACACAGAGACACGGCTTCCTGGAATAGGGATACTCCCAAACTGCTAAATCTTAATGCCAAAACCTGGGCTTCTTTAGAGAGTACTGATCAGAGGAAAATTGATAGTAGTTCATTTTCAGGAGACGATCAGCAGACATTTTGCTCTAAGAACGTAAGTGAGGATTCAGATTTGATACATCTTACTGAAGACACACCTATAGATAATTATTTTATTCTCCATGAGAAGTGTCTGATGAAGCAGAAGCAGTGTTCATCAGTAGAACATAGGGATCTGGGTCAAGACATTTTAGGGGCTGGTATTAGCTGCATTCCTGAAAATATAATCCATGGTAGTGCTGAAATGGATTCAGGTGAAAGTAGTAAGATTGCATGCTTTTTAGAATCTCCTGAGAACGTTCTTTCTCCAAAGGATAAACTTTTGAACTTTCTAAATCAGGATTTAAAGGATTTAGCAAAAAGTGAGTCACTGGTGCCTTCAAGTACACTGGCTACAGGAGAAACCTTTCAAGACCAGCTCCAATTCAACATTTGCTCTTCCAATGATCCGTTGCATTCCTCAGAATCCGGCATTGGCTTTACCCTTGACTCTACATCTACCTCTGCTCTACCTGATCTGGCTGAAACTTCTGAGCTCCATCTACGTCCCTCTGACCTTGGGCAGTCAGCTGTATTCTGTCAGGATGTCATTAATGACATTATGGTCACAGCTGCCAAGAAGTTGAGCCTGGTAGGAAGTGTTGGAGCATCTCCGGGGGATGTGTGCTCAGCAGACACCAAACACTCTGCAAAGTGTAACTTCATTTCACCTCCTTCACAAGGTTCAGAAAGGGTGCTGTACAGTGATCATGAAGTAGGGGGTACTGCTAACTATTCAGCGGGCAGTGCCGTTAGGAAAATTTCAAACAATTTACATAACGTAGCATCTGAACTGTCGCACGCTAAAGATTGCAGCATGATCGAGCCTTTGCAGAAGTTTGATAGAAATAACTTGCCTCTTGACAAACCTTCACTACAAATTTCTCCACCATGTTTGGACCAGACAAACCAAGATAGTCTTCTCGACAACCATATTCCAGCCATTTTGAGGACTTTCTTTGGTGGAAATTCTTTGGTGACTCCAGACTCCATGGATTCTCTGAATATGCACATTCTGCTGGGTTCAACCGAGGTGCTCAACAGCACTGCCTCTGAGAAACCTCAGCCTGTTTACAAAACGGCTGACAGTGGTTATGAAACAGAGAATGTGGAATCTCCAGAATGGAGTTCCCAGCCCACCATCCAAGATACTGCAGCTGAAGGAAGCCCTGTGATAGGTTTGCAGCCTTCCCCAGACATTTTAGTGTCAGCCGCAGACAGGATGCTGGATGCTCTGCAAGATAAAGGAGAAGCCTTCGTTGAAAAGACTCCTGCTGAACCTGAGCATGAGCTCCAGTGCAGTGGCCAGCAGAGCTATCGTGATTCTGCTTACTTCTCAGATAATGACTCTGAACCAGACAGGTTGCTCAATGACTCCATTCTTCCATTCCGCACTTCTGCTGGAGCAACTGACACCTGTATTGGAAAAACTCCTCCTCTTGAGAAAGTTGTTGAGATGGAGGAACAGCAGTTCCACACTAATGTTCAGATGGATGCTTCAGAAGCTGCTATCAAGCAGCCTAACTCATTGCTTATCCAAAGCAAAAATGAGACAGACCTTGTCACAAAGGGTGATTCATTTGTATGTTTTTATGATGAAACAGGAACAGACGATGCCCATGGAGTGACAGCTTGCTTGTACGAATACACATCACAGTCTGAGCAGCCTAAAAATGCCACATCTTTCCTGTTGGCTGTGAACTCAAGGTTAGATAATGTGGGAGATGCACCCAGGCTGAAGGAACCTGATACTGAGGGAAGATACTTGGGTAAGCTGGACAGCCTGTCAGTGGCGAGTGGGCTGGAGGACAGTGCCGATGCTGATGAGGAGGATGAGAACAGTGATGACTCGGACGATGGAAACGCACACATCTACCAGCGGTCTGCGACCAGCTCTGACAGTGAGGATGATGCTGGTCACAGGGTACCTGTCATTGTCACTGATGGCAATGAGGCCTGCAGCCTCAGAGGCCTCCTGAAACCAACCTCAGCGATCACCCCCAGACCTTCGCAGATAGGAGGCTCAGATGATGACCTTAGGACAAAGACGGTGTCCTTCTTTGATGATGTCACAGTTTACCTCTTTGACCAGGTAATCGACAGGCTGTGGAAAAGACATTTTCTGCAAAATATATATAAGCAGACCACAAATTCAATCAAATGACTGTGTTATTAGATACAGACAATTTGAATGAAGTTAATCATACAATTTAATTGCTTCATTACAGTCTTGCAGACTCATTCAGTGTCTATGTACAAAGCAATTTTTGCCCAGTGTAGGGTGACGCATCTATTTTCTCTGACTTAGTTGTCAAACAAACTTGCCAATCAGTGGCAATCTCTCCTTAACACTTTATTGAACACCTCTGTTGCCCAATGAAACCTATAACTAACTAGTTTCATATCAGTTTCAGTGCATATCTTTAATATTATATGCAATAAACTTTTGCTGTTGATTAGCAGTCCATAAGCTTGTGTTGGTGAGTAGCAGAATGTCTCCCCCGCCCCCCCCCAAAACTCACCCCTTTGGCAGTCTGATTAACGGCACATTTGACCATGATGTAATGGTGGCTTTCAGGACACACCCACCAAGGAGCTTGGTGACCATACGTCGGTAGCAGGCTCCGGCCCACAGTTTAGCACCGCGGGGTCCCCCTCCAGCTCTCTGAGCAGGCTCACCAGCTCAGAGAGTTCCACTGATGAAGAAGGTGAGGCACGTGTGCGAGGCACTGTCATACCGATCACGGCGCACGTGTCCTGGCCGTGCCCTGTTTCACCATTGCTAGCTGTGCTTGTAACTAGAGTCTTTGTTGGCTTCTCAGGTGGTGGCTTCGAATGGGATGATGATTTCACCTTGCCAGAGCCCGCCTTCCTTGCCAGGACAGCCAATCACCTCTTTGCATCCAGAACAACTGCCTCACCACCCTCCCGCTGCCTTTCCCCTCCACCTCCCAGCCGTCCTGGGGAGCAGATCTGGACTCCGCCATCTTCCTACTCTCGCTTCTCCGTGTCTCCCTCCAACATGGCCAGATTCTCCCTCACCCACTTCACGGACTCTGACATGGAGCAAGAAGGTGGGGGACGCTTGATGGGAAAACACACACACACACACACACACACACAGAGACACATGATTCTATGGGCAAACCCTAATCCCAACAATGACAACCTTAACCATTAGTAACCAAACAAAGTACACAACTTTTTAGTTTTTTTCATTGCAGGCACAGATTTTCATAAAATTCAGTTTCTCGGACCAAGAAAATGTCCCCACAAGGTCAAAATAACAAGTTTTTATCTCATTGTGGGGACATTTGGTCCTCACAATATAATATATACATGCTCACACATATACATATTAATGTTCAAACAGATGTCCATCTGGCCGGTGCTGTGTGTACAGCTGCCCCTGTACCCATTAATTTATGTAAGAAAAGCTGCTTTTCCGGATGTGTGTTTCGTTTTTTTACTCTGTAGTCCATTTCATTTGGTTCATATTACTTAACAAGAACACTTTTGCAGTTACCACATTGAATTCATTCATGATTCTGTGGATTGTAGTAACCTATAGAGGAAATCTAAGAAGGGGAAAATTGAAGCAAGTTGTGGCACTTTGTTTTGTTCGGTTTGCAGTCTTCAAGCGTCAACCTTTACAGTCATCGCCCTGTGAACAAATCCTCAAGGAAGGAGTAAATAAGGTTGTTTAAAATGTCTGCAAACAGGTCTGCTCTGGGCCTGGCTTGCTGAATACCCATCAGTCTTTGGTCTTTACCATCAGAATGAAATATTCAGCCCACACATTCTAGAAGTACATCATTATGTCAAAGGACATTAAAAAAAAAACTAACAAGAAAAAACTTATCGACATTTCCATTTGTATGAGCCGTGCTGTGCTGTCCAAAACGGTGTGGTACCGAATCTTCCTAGGATTGACTGTCCCGTAAAAGGTTTTTCAGGAATAAAACGTAAAACCACAGTTATAACTGAGGAGGGAGTGCAATTAATTTTACCTAATAAATGTAATCAGTAGGTTTCCTTTTGTCTTGCACTCAGCATCTGTTAAAATCTGATAGCACTTATTTTTGAAAGGATGTAAAATTAGCACCAGATGGGGGAAGAACTATTTTTCATTGAATTTCCCTGTTTGTAATGTAATCATACCTTTCATCTTGGCTTTAAGCAGCAGATGCTCTGGGGTGGAAGAGAAGGTTAGGGTTTAGCTCCCATGGCAATCCTGTGTGGGGAGGACTCAGTGGGACCTTGGGCACCACACTTCTGGCCCCTATTGTCAGGATGACACAGGGGGGCTCACTTTAACCCCCCCTCCCCCCCCATGGGCTCATGGAAAGAGTGAGCTGCAACATGCCCTTTTTACGATTTCATATGAGTCAGCGTTTAATGGGCTGCATCGCAAAACGAATCCCCCCCCCCCCCCCCCCCCCCCCCCCACACTCCACCTCACTAACAGCTGTGACGCTCCCGAGGCATCTGCTGGCCACCCCCACTGCCCCAGACCCTCTAAAGGGGGGGGGGTGCTGACGTCAGTGTGCCCAGCGGGGTGGGTGTGTGCACGTATCTGGCAACCCTCTTTGTGATTTCCACGTCTCCATTAAACGGGAGCAGTCTCTGCGAGGGGGGGGGGGGGCGACACCCTTCACGCACAGCTCTCACCCTGCGGTCTGACACCAGCCAGCTCTGATGGCTTCATGGTGAAACACACATGAGACGAGTAGAGTGGAGAAGCCTAGAGTGTGGCGGGGAGGGGGGGGGCGTGGCCTTGGTGTGGGTGCTGAGTGGGGTGCGAGTCTTTCGGACAGCTGTGGCAGGCAGTGAGGGTTACCCCATGGCAGCTGCAGCTCGCCGTCTCCTGGCTCTGACCTTGGGTCCGCAGCCAGAAGGACAGGCCGCCCTCAGTCCCAGTACCTGCCCTTCTGTGGCTGTACTGTGCAGAACCAGCCGTATAGCTACATTTAAGCTGTGTTTAAGACATTTTTTTAATTGCTAGTAAAATTGGTGCCAGGAAAGTGGTTATTTCTCTGACGGACAAGCCATAAGCGATCATTCGCAAAATGATAATAATAGCTCCAGCAAGCTAGAGCGAAACTTGCCGGTTTAGATCAAAACTTGAAGTTTTGAAAGTGCCCTGTCATGCATGCAGTGTGTAAGATCAGCTTAATGCAGTGACACCGTCTGCCGTTCGCCAGCATGTGTTCAGACCTCGCTTCACAACCAGGGTGAAGCATGCAGCTCCTCGCTTTGTATGTGAACAGCTGTGTCCACGGTTCAGGTGAGGTCTGTCATTGGGGCACCAGGGCAGGGCCTCTGCTTTTGGGAGTTATCATCACAGTCCTGGTGTCTTAACCACTTCTGTAAATTCACATTGGGTAAGTTCTTGTAGTTATAAACGATAAGTTCTATGTAGTAAGTAATGTGATAAAACAACTAGCAGTTCCTCAACTGTTACCTCTGTTATAAAGCTTCATGAATATATACATGCCGCTAAGAAATACATAAACACATTAGTTTTTGCCTTTTTCTAAGTACCTTGTGCGTAATATGTGTGTAAATGTGTGTTTGCACTGGTGTGAATGGCGGGAGGGAGGTACATGACCAGTTTGCTCAGAATTGTATTCCATTTGTTCTTTTTTGAATGGGAAAGTTTGCAGTGCCATTTGCAGAAGGTGTAAAACACCAAATGCTTGCAGCGGCACACAGTAGCCACGTTGTAAATGTATAACATTCCCATTGGACGTTTTGACCAAAGAGTCAGGGGTGGCATTTAATAAATAAATGGACCTTGACATGATGGACCAAGGCTGAGGGCAATGTAATCATCAGTCACATACCATGGGTAACGTCTGAAGCATGTGTGCCTGCCAGGTGTACTTAGAGATGTCCCTGTAGTCCACTCCAGTCATGGCAAGGGGAAGGGAAGTAGCGTGGAGTTTTACTGGTTAAGCTGGCTGGTGATCGTGACCCTCCCTGGGAGCCGTGCAGGTGTGCCTTCCACCCTTCTCTGGAAAAGCCTCCAAAGATAATGTTACACATCCGAGACCATGCTGAAGGTCACATCAAACGGATGGTATCGTTAATGGTCAACCTGAAGCAGAACGTTTTGGATACAAATAAAAAAGAAGTTTAATACCATGACAAAGACGAACTCTTACAAAATACCTCTATTATGATATTGCCGTTACATAATGTGGTTTGTCTCATTTTATCTTTTTATTCTAGGGAGCAGTGAAGATGGGGACAAGGATTAAGTGTGGAGGAAGTGGACCTCAAAATTCACTGCAAGATGTACAACTTTGTACTTTAACAGCCATCATATAGATGCTGATCTCTAGCAGTGCTGCTCTTCTGCACAGAGTGCTGTAAGGATGACGTGTGAAGGGCCGCCCACAGCAAAGCTCCTCGCTCTCCGTGCCTGTCATGCCTGTCATGCCTGTCATGCCTGTCATGCCTGTAAGCGCCACTGTAAGCGCCATGCAATACCAGCTAGTACAACTCATATCCTTTTATTTTCTGTTACAAAGCAAACTCCCTGTTAGCTTCTAAATGTCGTCCTCACTAGTAGCTGTGCTGTCACTGTCGTCACATTAGTGGTTCTGCCGCAGTGACTGAAAATATTAAAGATAATCTTTTTTTTGGCCCTGAGTGCTATTTGGAGATGCGGTTCAATTCAATGCACATGGTACATTTGTTTAAAACAAATCTACTAACGTCTAATTTGTACTGGCTAATCAACTTATGAAGAGGGGTATAAGCGGACTATTTGGTTTCAAAGTTCTCCTTGCAAATTACAGATGTTTCTCAGAACATCTTTTGGGTTGCTAGTCCAGCGCTCGGCAGAAAGACCTTTTGTCTTGTTTTTTTGCAGTTGCATTGCATGGCAATGGTCACGCCATCTCTCATGTTGACAGCAGTGATTCAAGGTAGCAGTTACATATAACGGCATGGGTCACGTTCATTTACATAGACTCAAGATTAGCCTCAGCAAGACATGCCTCTCAAGGGGGTGATTTTCCTTGCCGGTGCCACACATGCTCTGAGCTAAAGACAGACATTAACAATGGGAGCAAACTGAGATTTCTGCAGAAATCTGTGTTTTATTTTTTTGGAGTTAGCAACTTTTTGTACTCTTGCAGCATTTAGATGATGACACTTGGTCCTCTCTGCCAACGTTCATTGTGTTGTGTGTGTGATTGCATTGGTTTCAGATGAAGGTGAGAAAGAAACGAGGAGATACTGTCATTTGTGAAGCTGCCCGTCTCTCCTTGTGCCATTGTACTTCGCACGGGCCACTGAATGGCAGACAGCATTTCTCTGAAATGCCACAATACTGGATCTACTTGATCTGACCGTTTAGAGTGTAATGTGAAGTAGACATGAAAGAGAAACTTTCAGTTTGAGACGCTTTAGTTTTTTGTGAATGAATTTTTATATAAACTCTGAAAACCACATAAGCTAAGCAGCAACTGCGTGGACTTGCAAAGACGCTGCAATAAGAAGTAAAGTTCTCTGTCTGATATGAAGTGTTGATAATGTGCAACTGTTTTGCAAGCAAAGGTTCATGGTCTCCATGGTACTTCTGCAATTTGTTCCTCTAAAACCCTATTAGAGGTCGAAAGTATTTTTAACTGAATGTCTGAAACAGGTACAGTATTTATTTGATTCTTGAATGCATCTGGGGGGATATAATAGCCAGCAGATTATGAATATGGGCTAATGGCAATACAGCGTCAAAGTGGGACATTAAAGATGATTGGTCCTAAAATAATGTGAGCAGCTGTTTTTTTTTTTTTTCTTCAAACTTTAAATAATTTTACCATCCAATCATAAGGCAAGGTGAGCTGCCTAATGTGATTGGTTGTCACCATCATTAACTAGCTTGTCCAGATGAAGTAGAGGATTAGTAGCAGGGGGTCTGTCTGTCTTGGTTCTCATGATGGAATTTAGAAGGGATCCCAAAGATTCAAGTGAATGGTTCTGAATCTCCATTTTTTTGTGCATCACAAATAAATGTCCTTGTTTATTTATGGTTTTTATGTACAAAAGTTTGCAATAAGAACAACCTGTGCTCCAGCCTGACTTGAAAATTTAAGTTATTCTGTAAATATTGCTTCACCTTGCACATTTGAAGTGTAACTTATTGTTAAATTTTGCTAATGTAAATACTGTAAATGTTGACGATGTCTGTAAATTGGGAGTGATGTAATGAAGTCTTAGGCATTTTGTTTAATGAGTAATAATACACATTTCAGTATAATTATTAAATTGTGGTAGAAAAAAAATCAGCTGACTCTATCCCTGAAGCTGTACATTTAATGAAGTGGTATTTTTACGTCATGTTGATTCAAACACGTGTTGTTGAAATTTAAGTACAACATGGTTATTTAATATTAACAATAAATAAAAAATGCCTTTTATATTCCATTCACAAACTCTTAGTGTTTATTTCCCCTGTTATATGTGCATCCCCCCCCCCCAAACGTTACGATTTAAGAAATGCCCACTGCATTTTGTTCTAGTTTTGACTCAATCCAAAGTCCATAAAGCGCAAATGTATAGTTTATTCAACCCGATGAAAGATTAGTTTTTGTAAATGATTTTGTGGAGCTTCTGGACAAGTGGTAGAGTTGTTTGACACTGTGGAGGTATTGACTGGAGTAATGAACTGGGAATTCACTGAAGTTCAACGACAGATATATTACTGTAGCATCTTGAGTGGTCAAACAGCTGCACATCAAAGTACAACAATGACTATTGGACAAGGATTAACAGGGTGGGCTGGGGGTTAGGGTTAGCATCAGGATTTGGGTTTGCATTAGGGTGGGGCTGGAGTTAGGGTTAGCTTTTGGCTTGGGCTGTGGTTGTGGTTAGGGTTAGGAGTCTGCTAGGGTTAGGGATATTCAGGGGCGGAGGAGAGGTCTCACAGCAGGGGGCCCGACGGTTAAATTTGCCAACCTAGAGGGGTGAGGGGTGACGTTTAATTGTTGCAAATTTTGAGTGGTTGTCTTATCAAAAGGGGCAATTTGTAAAATTTGATGACCGGGGATGACACTAACTGGGTCTCCTCTGCTACCGGGGCCCATGTATAACTTTGAGAGGTGGTTGAGGGGCTCAGTGTGTAACGCCTCTGTCTGTGATCAGGACCTTTACACAGCTTTTAACATACCCAGCTTTTCTGTTGTGGTCATATGGATACCAAGGTGGGTCTTCCTGCCTGTTTATCTCTTTGACATGGGGTTGGGTGTTGGGGCTGTTCCAGTTTTTCTCAAGCTGTTTCGTAGACCTTAAGGTGCTTGTCCAAATATAAATATCTAAATCCTCTTAGATGCTGTAAAGCCACAGGTATTGTGAGTACAGGCAACACCCAGCTGTAATGCAAATGCCCATATGCAAATATTTGAATAAGTTTAAGAGGGTGAAACGCTCTTGCAACAAGGCTCTGTAGGCAAAGTGGATTCACAGTAGCCCCACTTTTATATTGATTATTAATCTACACCAGTTAATCGACAGTATATTTTAACATAATCATAAGTTACTATTTCATAAGGCACTTGAGTCCATGACATAAACTCACCCCGAAACTGTCTGGCATTAAATAACCAATATTTATTTATTTATTATTTTCGTTTACAAGCCCTCCCTGCTTGAAACGTGTAAGGCCCTGTTGGTAAATATACGGGGAAATGTAATATTATCGAATGCATCGTACCAGATGTGTGGAACAATGCCGTTTTTAGAATCAGGACATTTATAATTGCGGCTTCAATGTGTTTTCTTCAGTTAATTATACGGACAGAATCTAGTAGCCTACATACTATTGTTTTTGGTTTAACAAAAAAAACGCATTTACATTAAACAAAATAAAACAATACATCTCCAATGTACTCCGTTAAAACCTTGCCTATGCGCACTAAATTCAGATATCTAATTAAAAACTGGTTCTGAAAAGATCCATCTAGGCTTTGACAGAACATGAGTCCGCGCCTTTAAATAGACACGTCGCTCTTATTGACTGCCACTTTCAGGAGGTAAAATACGACTGAATCGGTCTTGTGGCGACGGACGTCAGCCGCACCGGGCGCTGCTGTCAAAGCTGAGAGGCGCAGCCATTGGCCGGTCGAGCGCCACGTGTACTTCCCCAAGCAACAGGTACGCGCACCGAAACAGTTACTGCTCCTTTCTCGCTGGGCGGCTGTCTGTCTCCGGGTACTGAGGCTGAGATAAGCAGTTATTATTAACTATTTTTTTTTACTACAGTTCATATCTTTTTTTAAAAATTCCAACTCATTTTATTTTTACGGGTAAGTGGAACGCATTTTACATCGCAACATCACTCTCCTAGCCTGCAGTTGTTTCAAAGAAGACGAATTTCATTTTAAGGTAACATGCTGTCGTGGATGACTACGTAGTCTAGTCTTGCCAGTAATAAAAAAAAAAAATTAAGCCATTTCTAGAGAAGCGTAATGTTAGTTGAATTTGGAGCACTTGTGCTGTGCACTTTAAATTATTGCCTGATTATCAGTGATTAGTATCACTCCAGTATCATGAAATTATCACATTTTTTGCTTTTTTAAACTTTGGTTTAAGACGAATGAGTAGTCTAAAGATTTAGCAATAAAATAAACCCACACATCTTTGTTGTTTTACTAGTAATTTCTGCTTTTCTACGACTAAGAAAAGAGGGACAGATGTGACAGTTTATTTGCTGCAAACATGTTGTGTTTGAATTGCAGGATCCCAGTCTGTTCTAAATTAAGCCTTCATATAAATGTTCCGCTTGAGTGCATATTAATAATTAAAATCTGTAAACCCTATTTAAACCTATTTAAATTGAAAAGCCATTACATTGACAGATGTAACTTTACAGCACGGTACCTTGCAAATTTACTATTTCTTAGAATAACCTTGAATTTGGTCTTATCTCAAATACCTCAGATAAGGAGTGCAGATTGCAAAAAATACATTAAGGTCTTTTCTTACAGAGGACGATTAGATATTACGGTTCAAGTTTTTACCCTAGGGTAAAAGATTTTCGCATTATTTTATTAATTCGCAGGGGAGATTGACGCCTACAAAACGTTTTACTTCTGTCTTTTTTCCCTATTGCGAATTTTACTGCATGACATTTATTGTCATGCCATTTTGCAAAACTGGTTTATTAAATCTCAGAGCATTTTGGGATAGCCGAATGGTGCAGAGTGCTACACAAAACTATTGAAATGAACTGAATGTAATCTTAACTATAGTTACAAGCAATTTTAGAAGTTCTAGAACATATATTTATAGTTAATACTAAAAATAGACAAAATAATTTATTATTAATCTTTGTGTAATACTTGTGTAATACTTTTAAAAATATCATTTACACACATAGGCACCTGTGCCGTGTTTGGGCATAGTGGCCAGGTTTGCACAGTCTTGACTGGAGTGCTCCCCCTGCTGACAATAAGCAATGATTACAGGTCCAGCGAAGACGTGAAGGTGGCACGATGAAGTCCAAGGGGAAAGCCGCGAAGCGCAGTCAGCAGCCTTGGAGCGAACCGGAGCCGGACTTCCAGCTGGAGAATGAGCTTGGCTGCAGTGAACACGAAGGCTCAGAGGCATCTCTGCGGCTTGACAGGTCCTGGAGGGGCTCCAGGAGGGAGAACAGGGGCACCGCGGCAGGCTCCAGACGCCGGCGGCCACACGGGGGCACGAAGGAACGGAACGTGCGACGGCTAGAGAGCAATGAGAGGGAGCGACAGAGGATGCACAAGCTGAACAATGCCTTCCAGGCCTTACGCGAGGTCATCCCGCACGTCTGGACTGAAAAGAAGCTCTCCAAGATCGAGACCCTCACACTTGCCAAAAACTACATCAAGGCTCTCACCACCATCATTCTGGGCATGTCGGGTGGCTGCCTGCCACACGGGGAGAGTCAAGCCCAGGTCAACGCATCCAAGCTTCTGCAGAGCTATAGGCAGCACCTGGAGGAGGAGGGCGAGGAATGCTTGTCCAGGTACCTCAGCCAGATCCACAGCTTGAGCCAGGGCAGATAGCCCCATGGACTGTTTGTGCAGCCACATGTACCCTCCAAGGTCAGGAACAGGAAAACAGAAACTGAGCTGTTTGCTGAATGATATGAATCTTTTTTTTCCAGCTGGTCTAAAGGGATTCTTGGAGGAACAGGAACGTTAAGGACTCAAACTTATTCTTCTGCCCATATATATATATTTTGCATATTTGCTCTTTTGCTGCTTAATTATACAATTCTGCCAAAGAATTCTTCTGCTTTATGTAAGTAGTGCAAGGCTTGAGAAGAAAATGTGCTCTGATAAATATGGTGATGTTTGTATTTTAAAACTATAGAAATCTGTGATAGAAGGTACTTTAACTTAAATGAATAGTTTGTTGGTATTAATAGATGTCAGCAAAAACATCCTGTTGTTTTGTGTGCCTAGTTTTTGGTGCCATATTTCCTGAAGTATATGCTGTACTCTACAGTGTTTTTTTTTTTTTTAATTCTACCACCATATACTTCATGTTATGAATGTTGCAAGTTTTACAAAACATGTATAAAATACACTAACTTCAAATTTTTCAAAATACCTATTCATAATTCATAATCTGAAAAGCAATTATGTAATGCCTGGTCTTTAAAAGCGGTTGCAAATCCTGATTTTGGCCAAACATTTTCCAGACTGCAATTTCTGTTTTTCTTGGAGTGTTACAGTAGTTTACAGTAGCTTTCCCCCTTCAAAAAAATTATTTTTTTTTACATTTTTCTGTGTGCTGACTCTGCGAGCGTACTCAGGACCAGCTATAGGAATGCTCTTAGGGCAGTATTTCTTACCAAATGTTTACCAGAAGTCCTACTTGGAACCATTTTATGCCATAATAGAAGAACATTCCAGTGATACATACAAAATACAAGGCATCTGATATTTTGCATCTGGAAAAAAGTGCATTTAGAAAATATTCCATTGTAATTGTTGTGGGAATCATAACTTCCAGGCAATATGCCTTGGAAATGCTAGGAATCGCTGCTGTTCTTTGGGTTCAGGAATGAGCTCAGTACTGTGACATTACTGACATAAAACTGAACACTTCTGATTGAGACAGTAGATGCAGCCCCCAGAAGACGAGGAATGGGGGCTCCTGGTCTCTGCTAATAGGACGATATACAGATGGTCATGCAGTGCTCACAGCCTGACATTAACCTTGAATTTTAAGAGGTTTCAACAAGGCAACTGAATCACCTTTAATAAAGTTAGAACTTGCTTCACTGATCAAAGTATTTGTTTTACTAAGTCTGATAAGTTTTTTTTTGCCAAGTAAAAAGTCAGAGTATCAGGAGAGTGAATAAATGTCACTAATATACTTTAGTTTTCAGTTCACAACTTCAATGTATGTTTAATAATTTTTTGTTTAGGATAACGTTTTAATAATTCTACAATATTGTGGAGACTGCTAAAGCTTGCCTTGATGGTAGTGACATTACTTGTAAAATGCCGATAGACATTCTTTAATAAAACTCTAATTTCATCATCAGAAAGCTGAGCATTAGATATCTAATCTGTAAAAGGAAAAAAAATTACCACTAGACAGTGCCTTTGAAGAATCATATATAAGTGTTATAAACAAATCTGGAGCACCTTGATACCACTGAAAGATTTATACAACATTCATACATGTGATTTTCTTCTAGTTTTACTGTATGCAAAACATTTTTTACATGCATATGCACCAATAATTATTTACTTCTGTTTTAATGTATAATTTTATCTAGTTAAATATTATATTTTTACAAATTAACATTAAACCTGAATGCAGCATGTAAGCATGCATGTATGTACACTGACAGTCAAGCATTTTTAACAACTTAAAGAAAATGCTGTCCTTTTATAATTTAAGCAATATCAGTGCTACATACAAAACAAAAAAAATAGAAATGGCTATTACACAAAAGTGGCACCTCCTGACAAAACTGCCATCATAGTCACCTTTTACAGCCATTCAGGCTGATCACACTCTCTAGGAATCCTATCAGTTAAAGACTCAAGGTTCACTTTAACACTGCTGGAAAGGGCCCTACGAATGAGCTACACTAACTGCCCACCTACCCTTCACCTTTTCAAGCACTTCATTCCAAATAAACTCAGTGACGTTAAGTTCTGCAGACCACTTTCACCTTTCCTTCATTTGTCTTCTTCAAAAAGTGAATGTGATCACAATGAGTGCACTGCTTAAAGTTTAACCAAAAATGCTAAAATATATGGTGTCCAAAAACTTGTGACTGTATACATTTACTGACTACTGGCTGACCAAAAAAGCTTTTACTTCGCTGTGTTAGATTGTCTGGATAGTCGTTTGAATTGTATAAAGTGATATAACAAAATTGTGCGCTAGTTTTCACTTGTACAGCTTACACAACCTCCAGTTTATAAGCAAAGCACACAGTTATTTGCATGCTTGTCGGCAGTAGAACTGTCTTTGAAACAAATTAGCAACAATGGCTGAAATACTTGACCTCCCTTAGTTTTCCTAATGCAACCGAAATGGCATTTCTTTGAAAGAATGATTCCCTTTTAGTCAACACTAGCATTTATTCATTTAGAGCAACACATTGAGTAAACTATGATAAAATACACAAAAATCATGTAAGTTAAGGAAAACATTTAATGAGGACACACTAACCATGCACACGCTGGGAGGAATGCACAACAAACTAAACTGTAGTGTATAGTAGTACCACTGCACCAAGTTGGGTAGCATACGATGACACAGGAAACACTTGACTGTGAAAGCTAGGCTGATCATTCCATGTTACAGATCACTCCTAAAAAACAAACACAGATATTTGAATGTAGAATGGAAATGTAATGATTTAAGGAGTTGAAAACCCAACGTAGTGTAGAATGCCTCAATGTGCATAATTCATTAAATACAGCCCAACTTGTGCAAATCAGAAGTGCGACAGCACAATAACATCAAACAGACCTCTGTACAAATAATGCCTAATGTCATTCTTACAATAATAAACTGTCGTACCATTACTCACTTCACCGTGACAGGTCATAAGATGATTGTTTTCTGCTTTCCATACATTTTTTTTAAACTCATTCTTATGATTTTTTAAAACAGTTACTTGTAATGACAAATGTAAACTTCTCTTTAATAATCAATATACTGAATAATAAATATTTCCCCTTTTAACCCCCCAAAAATAAATAAAAAAAAAAATTGTGAATGGTACCATTACAGTTCATGATTGTGCAAAGGGATGGAGTGGTGTGGTATAAGTACCTGAGAAGAAAATATTTATTTTTCAGCTTCACAGAAAAAGGAATAAATATTAGTATTTTACATATATTTTTTGACAGTGAAATTAATGCTAAAATACATTTTTAAAATACCTGTCCACCAAAAAGATGACCTTACCCCCTTCCCACAGCTTCAACCTCAAAATCAGTGCAAAACAGTGGAAGTTGGGAAAAATCTGTCAGTCAGCTGATGCGCAAAATCAGTTTTACTATCAGCTTTCATAACATTCCATTTATATTAAAGTCCTATCCCACATTCCCTCTAGTGCAAAAAGTAAAATACCTGTTGCCAGCAACTGGCATTATATGCTATCAGTTCCAAACTCTCTGTCACATTTTCTAATTAAGGAAAACTGGTCTAAAATAAGATCAAAAAGAAAATCCGCTTTACTAAATTCTGCTTTGCTCACATTACCATAACAATCAGCAAACTCCTGTACTGTATTGTCAGTACCATACAATATTGCCTGATATTGTCAGTTAAGTGTTCCTTTCGACATACTGGAAAAAAGGGATCTCAGGTAAGAACTAAAGACAAAAACAGTCAAACGAGGATATGCATGACAGCGTCACCTACTGATCCGCACAAAAAATGATATTGGAATGTCATGCATTGTGCAAACACAAAAACAAAAACTAAACAAATCAGTAAACAGGAACAGCAACAGCAACATTAAAAAAAAAATCAAACAACAAAAAAACACCACAAAGGAATAACAGAGTGGACTGAAGGTGGGAGTGACTATCCTGAAATGTAACAGGAATGTCTGAGGAGTGAATGAGAGCCAAACAAGGTGACTGACTGAAGTGCATTGTGGGACAATGGGGAGAGAAGGCTCAGGGGTAGCAGAGAACTGGAGTGATGTGGAGGGCGAGGAGGCCACGCCTCCTTTACGACCTGACGGCATTCCCGTTCATCACGTCTGGGATGCTGACAGGGGGGGTGCCACGTGGGGCCCCGCTGGCCGGGGTGGGGCCCCCGACCATGCTGGGCATGCTGATGCGTGGGGCTTCCGTCGAGTTCCCCCTCACAGTGATGTGCTCCCACCCCCCCTAAAAACAGGAAACACGGCAGCCGTTCAGCACCAGTGGCTCGTGACATTCCGACATTCCCCGCCAGTGTGCAGGGAGCTGCGGCCCTGGGTGACCTACCCCGATTCCATAGTCCCAGGACAGTCCCTTGGGCTCCATGGGCAGAACGCCCAGGCGGCGACAGACGGTGCCACAGCTCAGACTGTGGCTGCCTTGAACTTTATCTGCAATGATCCACACCTGGAATACAAGGGACGACACTGTCATCCTAACATCCCTCCCCCGCCAGGAACCATAACACAGCTGTTCTCCCCGGTTCTCCGATCAGAACGATAACGGCACAGTGAACTGACAGCTCAGCATAAGGCGTCCGTAAGACAAAATCATGAGTAATTCACATTTGTTGCTCGCGTAGAATGTACACTAAGCAGAGGTTATGTTTAATTATTAATTTGAATTTATTTCATAGGCTATTTAAAGAGTCAGATCTGTTTTACACTGAAATATGATAAATTTCCTCTATTTCTACGGCAGCATATTATTTCCCAGCTGAACTGTGTATGATCAGACTCACAGACCTGGTCCAGGGGCCCAACAGAGACTTTGCGGACGTTGGTGGAGATGTGCTCCCAAGACGAACCCTGCGGGTAACTGGGAGTGAGACCCTGACGGAACCACAGGTTACCTGCAGGGAGACACAGATTAGAAGAAAAGTATGGTATTAAAGTCGGGCAATCAGGAGAGGGATGACAAAATCACACAATCCATTTATCATTCTCAAACTTCTGTGAACTTGTAGCAATAAAGAGCTTTTTGGAGATGCTGGATGAGCCAGTTTCATTATAACGGCATCATCTAAAGCCGTGTTTCCAAATCTAGTCCTCGGGGACCCAGAGACGGTCCATGTTTTTTCTCCCTCCCAGCTCCTGAGCAAAAAGTGGACTGTCGGGCTGGGAGCTGGGGGGGGAGCAAAAACGTGGACCGACTGTGGGTCCTTGAGGACCGGGTTGGGAAACGCTGATCTAAACATTTGGCGGGTGGTCTGCAAACACACCGTTCTCATCCACTGCGTACACAGAGGTTCTCCCCACGGATACTTGTTTTAGCTTCTGCCGCGGTGGAGATGGGATGTGGTACCAGCAGTCACCTGCAAGTCACGAGACATTGTGCTCAAACCAAGGTGTCAGTCTCACTATGGATATATGGTTATAACACTTTGTTCAAAGACAAGGTAGGACATTTTCAATTGCATAAAATGCAGCTGATTGAAAAACCATGAATAAGACTACATGATCTGTCTATGTCCTCATTGTGCTTGAGTCGAGAACACTTCCCACTCTAAAATCTGCAGCAGTTCCAGAATTTCTTTTGCATTCATCAGAAAGGTACCTCAGGTACATCATGTAAAAGTAATTTTATTTAAAGGAGTCAAGCAATCGATGTCTAATCTATGCATCATCAAATGACGATAACTAAACTGTCTAGGCAGGGCACCATGAAGACTTCATAAAAACTTTATTCTCCTCACTGGTATGACTGAGACAAACTCGCCTGCAGGGTTCTGAGGAGACACGGACCCCCTGTAGAACACGGAGCCGTCCCTGGCAATAGCCCACACCTGGTGAGCGCTCCCTATGCAGATGGACTTGAACGGCTGGTCTGTCCCCACGTGAAGCCAAGAGGTACCCTGCGAGTCAAAATAACGTGCGTGCATTTGAACACGGCAGTGGCCCTCAGATCTGGACACGCGTGGGAGTTGGACAGAGGATGTGAATGGCGGAAGAGGAGGTTCCTCACAGCGGGAGCCTGCACAGTGACATCCAGGCGACACAGGACGTCCCCTTTGCTGCTGATGGCCCATAGAGGCACATGCTCCATTCTGCTTGCGGCCATGCAGGGCAGGGTGGTGATTTCAGACAGCGGGATGGGAGGGACTTCC